TGGGGGAGATCATTCGCGGCTTTGGGGTGGATTTCCATCAGTACGCTGATGATACTCAGCTGTACATTTCCACCCCAGGCCACCCCAACGATGCCCTTGACGTGATGGCCCGTTGCCTGGAGGCCGTAAGGGTCTGGATGGGGAGGAACAGACTCAGGCTCAACCCTTCCAAGACCGAGTGGCTGTGGCTGCCGGCGCCGCGGCATAGTCAGCTGACTCCATCGCTGACGATAGGGGGCGAAATTTTGGCTCCCTTGGAGAGGGTACGCAATCTGGGGGTCCTCCTGGACTCACGGCTGACACTGGAAGACCAGTTGTCGGCCGTGACCAGGGGGGCGTTTTATCAGGTACGCCTGATACACCAGTTGCGGCCTTTTCTGGACCGGGACGCCTTGCGCACAGTCACCCATGCCCTTGTCACCTCCCGCCTGGACTACTGTAATGCTCTCTACATGGGGCTTCCCTTGAGGAGCACCCGGAGGCTCCAACTGGTCCAGAATGCGGCTGCGCGGGCGGTGTTGGGAGGGACTCGTCGCTCCCATGTAACACCGCTGCTGCGCGAGCTGCACTGGTTGCCGGTGGCCTTCCGGGTGCGCTTCAAGGTGTTGGTCATCATCTTCCAAGCGCTCCATGGCATCGGACCTGGATATCTCCGAGACCGCCTTTTGCCGCAGATTACCTCCCATCGGCCGGTACGCTCCCACAGAGTGGGTCTCCTCAGGGTGCCGTCAGCCAGACAGTGCTGGCTGGCGACCCCCAGGGGGAGGGCCTTCTCGGTGGGAGCTCCCACCCTCTGGAACGAACTACCCCCAGAGATCCGGGTGATCCCGGATCTCCCCTCCTTCCCCTCCCTTAAGACATGGCTCTTCCAACAAGCGGGATTGGCCTAGGGGAATTTTTAGTGGGGTTTTAAGAATAATTTTAAATTGACACAGGCCACATCAAATATTTCATTTTAATTAGGTTTTAAAGTGGGTATTTTTATCTTTGTATCTGTTTTACCAGGCTGTCAGCCGCCCTGAGTCCGTAAGGAGAAGGGCGGGATAAAAATTCAAACAAATAAATAAATAAATAAAAAATCTCATGGCACGTTGTCCCGTTGCATGCACTGAGTTTTCCCACAGTCAATTGGCCATGGCAAGATGGCCGGGGTCAGTTGTCCCATTCCAACTTTAAGTTGGGTGGCCTTCAAGTCAGTCACCATGAATTTTGGAAACTAAAGTCCACCCATCTTAAAGTCACTAAGGTTAAGAAACATTGCATTGAATAACATATTCAGTTTATATTTGCTTCAAATTTTACAACCTTCAATGGGAAAGTAAGAACTGGCAAGTGGTGAGATCCAATAAAAATATTCCAGCTCTATTCCTGTTTAGATTATTAAATGAATATTACAGTTACTGAAAGCATGAATTTGGATTCTTTCCCCCCTTTTCATATACATATTATTTAGTACTTAAGTGATCAAGGAATGTAATATAAAGAATTTTATTGCCTTTACAATGATTATATAGGGAAATAAGGCTTCAGTAATAACCTTTAACTAAGCATTTGCTCTAGAAGAATACCTCAATGATTTGCTCACCTAGTTTCCATTTTCACTATATGATAGTAAGCTTTGTGTATTTATGATAACCTTAATCTGAAATACCTGTTTACTTTCACGAATAACCCTCAAGGATATGCCTCTTTATAAAAGGGCCATGCATGTTTAGCTTAAGCTTTGTCTGGAATTCAAGCAAATGCTACGCAGTAAGTCACATCTTATTTCATCAAGTAAAATTCTTCAGTTGATATATTTTCATTATTTGCTATAACTACCTTAGATGTAAGTTAAAAAATAATATAAATTATTCTTAACACCCATTCCTCTGGTTTCTCTTTGTTTTAAAAAATATTTTAGATGCTTGCCTTTTGGACCATTCTGCTTTCACTGCTCCTTGCGGTTAGAGGTAAGACCTGATTGTTTTATGTAACAACTTCAAATTGCTGTTTTTTTATCCATATTTTGTATCCGCTGAAGTAGCAACACCAGGGAATTGTATTATGAAGCATCATGTCAAGCTGAATGGTCTTAGGAATCCAAATTTCTTTCCTGTAGTCCTAAGTAGAAATATTACTAAAATGTCAGTCCCTTTGTAGGGTTTATGTATTTATGCATTTCCAGAAATGCTTCCATACCATGTTCTTATCAATGGACAGGGGAAAACAGATAAAACCTAGCCAAAATAGATTACAAGATATATAATTTCTTGCAAATAAAACTGATTTCCATGCAACAAAATTAATCCACATATCAAAGTGATGTAGAGAACTGAGGACCTAACTCCTTCCCATACAGCTTGTATATTGCTTTCAGAAGTCTTTTCATTCAAGGTTAGATTAAACGTATTGACTTCGGAAGAGTTTCCAAATGTCAAGGAAAGCATGGAGAAAATCAATGACTTTGTAGTTTGATAAAGCAATGGATATGCCGCTGACATCACTACCAGAGAAGATGTGCTGGCTGAGGAATTCTGGGAGTTGAAGTCCACAAGTTTTGAAGTTGCCAAGGTTGGGGACCTCTGTTGTAGAAGATAGAATTTGAACTTTTGCTTCAGTCACTCATGCCTTAATTATCTGACCCACATATAACAGGCAGAGAAGTTTGCTATGACCGCCTGGGCTGCTTTACAGATGACATACCATGGTCTGGAACAGTGGAACGGCCCATTGCACGACTCCCTTGGTCACCTCAAGAAATAAATACACGCTTTCTTATGTATACTAAAAAGAACCAAGACAACTTTCAGGTAAGATCTACCCTCCCTCAGTTAAATTTCGAAACATTTTGGAAGAACCATCTTCCCAAAAAATAGAAATGACAACGTAAATAATGACTAAATATTTGTATATAACTTCTTAAAAGAGAGGGGGGGGGACAGACTTCTGTCCCCAAAGCATAAATGCATATTCATTAGATATTTCTGTTCTTTTTAATATATACAATTTGTAAACAAAAAATGAACACATATTGGCAATTAAGGTGTGTACAGTACATCTGGATTACACTGTGTTTCCACTTAAAGAGTATGTTTTCTGCTGTCTTCCCATGCTTGCTAAACCCATAGTGGTAGTTCTTCAAATAGTGATGGGTTCCATGTTTTGAATGTACACTTTCAAAAATACAGTCACATCTGCCTAGATCTCTGCTGTTTGCTCTACGTGGGGCTGCCTTTGAAGCAATTCAGAAGTTGCAACTAAGCTAGATGTTATCTTGCTGGTTCTTCAATATCTAAAGAGTACAATAAGGTCAATTTTGGGTTCAGCTGTGTTAGTTACCAATGTGTGTCTGAGTTCAAGGCAAGCTATTGGTTATTATTTATAAAACTCTTTATGGATTGTGTTCTCCTAGATGACCTGACCCAGGTAGATCTGTACATCCAATTTCTGGAGGTCCAAAAGGTAGACTGAGAATTCCTCTTCCACAAAAGGGGAAAGGGCGCAGCACCTGGCCTTTCAGATGGTACTCTCTCACCATGGAATGACTTGCCCCCTGTAGTAAAGCTGCCTCATTTCTATTGACTTTCTGAAAGGCACTCAAAACTCTGCTATACCACTGCATTTTGAGTAGAACTACAAGGCTTCTAGAATTATTCCAGTCCCTATATCATCAGTGGCCATAGGAAGTTTTTTTCTTTTCTTGTACTGACGTAGAGTGCTATCTATGACTGTTTTTCTGCTTTTCTCTCAGGTTGTATCTGTCTGTGTTCATGTATGTGAGCAATGAGAATGTTAGGGCAGACCACTTACAGTAGACTCTGCTGTGGGTCATATATTCAAGAGTGCACAGGAATGCATATTTTGAGTAGAGAAGCCACTGCCCAACTATCTGTGCCATGGGAATGCTCTGGCTTAAGTTTTTCTAGAATTTTCTCTACAATCCCCAGTCAGATTCAATCCTTCAATTTAGTATTGCTTTTGCCAGCTACTTCATCCATACAGAGTCACCTTGTAGGGGATATGGATGGCATAGAAATTTAATGAATAAATAAACTAAATAAATACTAAATTTGGTTCCATTCTGTTCAGTTTTCGGAGACTTATTGTGCTGATGGACAGATGGATAGAATCCCAAGCCACTTTACACAATTTATTTCCAACATTTCAGTGAGATGAAACATTAAAAGGTATCATTATAGACATCCCATAATATCAAGACAAAGGAGTCAGCATATGTGTTATACCACAAAATTAAAAAAAAAAAACCATTCATAAATAGATTTTCTTCCTATCTTCATAGCTTCATAGCTATAATACTTTAGCAAGAGAAGTAGTAGTAATTTTAACTCTTCCGTCGTATCTGACTCTTGGCAATTTTATATGCAAGTGCTCTCCATGCTTTAGCAAAAGAAAGACCCAGCTAAGTAGACAGCTTGATCATGTGTATTCAAAAGTAAAGCTATATAATATAAAAAAATATTTATCATTTTCTTGGTTACATTTGGTTTAGTAATATATAACCCATGTCCAGTATATCTCTAAAAAGTTGATTTATTGAATCTTTATATATTTTACCTTGATGCCTTTAATAACTTATTACACTTGTTCCAGATGAGAGATTTGTAATGTATTTGATTCAATGAGTAAAGTGTGAAGTGCATAAAAAAAATGAAGTTCAGATTTTATTCTCCTAAACATTTTATAAAATTAAGGTGATGGTTATCTTGGATAAGAGTTCAAGAGTTTCCCATTTACTTTTTTCATGTTTTCATTTTTAGTTTTCCATGAAACATAACTAATAATATAATAAATTGCTAATTATAATAATAAGCAATAATCAGAAAACAATACAATTCTTTAATCAAGGAACTATCAAGGAGAAAACCACAGCCCCACCAATCCTGGCAGGGCAAGTTATTAGCAAACCCCAAACTCACTAGCACTGATTATGTTACCTAGTTAGGTAAAGAAATGTTTGCACACAAACAACCAAGCTCACAGGGCACAAAGGACTCCATAGCATTAATAAGTGTGACTATGTACATGCCTTAGAGTATTTCAAACAACCAAACCATTTAGAGAATATCTATAAGCAAAATTATTTGGTTCTTTTTGCATTTACTTTATAAAATGTAGACATTTTAATAAAGACATATATTTAAATACTATCTAGAAAAAAATGAGATGACTAATAATAGTTGATAATGTTTTTGGAACAGCATCTGAAATAAATATAATACTCTCATTATATTTATTAATGCATTCAATTAGGGCCTGAGACACCAGAAAATACTCTTGTAGACAACAACTCTGATGTGGAACTGAGGGGAAAAAAGTATATTACTGCTGCAGAAAATCTAAAATTAATCTACAGCATATATATTTGCAATACTTTTGTTGTACAAGAATTAGATAGGTAGTATTAATAATGGACCTAAAAATCTCCACCCATACAACTATCTAATGTATGGAATATTAATATTCCCAAGGTGCTCATGAGTGAAGTGAAATTGTTTCAGTTATGACAATGCTTAAGTTAAGAGTAGAGAAAAAAACAAAAGCTCTCTTGCTCGCTCTACCTAATATTTATGTAGATGTTGATATTTTTACAGGAAATCAGTGCAATTCATCCAGAAACAATTGAGCAGTCCAACTTCAATGCCAGCAAGAAAATCCGCTTCATCACCCATGGATTCATTGACCAAGGAGAAGAAAGGTGGTTGTCAGATATGTGCAAGGTACAGTAAAATAAAAACATTTATATTTTGGCACCTCTTAACACCCAGACAGGTAACTCTGAAAAGTATCACTTCTTTTTGACATAGATATGCCTGCTGGAACAATTAAAGCAGCGTTTCTCAACCTATGGGTCGTGACCCCATTTGGGGTCGATCGACCATTTCACGGGGGTCACCAAGCAAGGCTGTCCGCCATTTTTTTCCCCTTTTCCAGTGGGTGCCTTACCTCCTTTGAGCTGGGCCAGCTGGTGGTCGGCCTGCTCCGTCTCTGCCGCTTGCCAGCTACGCCTCAGCCAGCACAGGGGGCGGAACCACGCATGCGTGGCGCTCCCGGGCAGGGAAAGTCCTCAACTTACGACCGGTTGGGTAGTCCTTGACTTACGACCGGTTTAGTCCTCGATTTACGACCGGTTTAGTCCTCAACGTACGACCGGTTGGGGGTCGCGGCATTAAAAAGGTTGCGAACCACTGAATTAAAGAAAAGAAAATACAGGTAGTCTTCATTTAGCTATGTTACTGAGAGCTGAAACTCCATTCTTAAGCAATACAGTCATAAATTTAAAAAATGTGGCTTGCACTGCTTAGCAATGGCAGTTCCTAACTACCTAACTATCCTAACTACCACTACTTCATTGCCATCATAAATTCAAATGGTCACTGAAGAAGTGCCATTAAATGAGGACCACCTCTAAGAACTTACAGTTGAGGGTGAATTTTAGAATTAGTTTGCCACAGTGATCAAACTGGAGGGTTTAAAAGTCAGTGCAGCCAAGATCCTAGAAATCATATTAAGTTGCCCTGATCCTTTAATTCATAAAACGTCATATAATATTCACAAAATATTCACACAAGTAGGTAGAGATGTAGAGAGGTAGAGAAATTCCAGCATGTTACTTGATTTCCTTACACAATATGGCAAGAGGATCCCGCCAAATATTGCAATGCGAATTGCTTCTGTTCAGGGTTCCAAGAAGCCAGCCATTATATTTCTCAGGACACTCTATCCCAAAGGTGTCCAATCAACTTTGACTGTGGACTTCAACTCCCAGAATTCTAAGAGTTGAACCCCCCAAATCTTAACGTGGCCAAGGTTGGACACCCCTGCTCTACGCCATCCTTTTTCCTGAGCCTTTTAATATGGGTTTGTTATTCAGCATGTTCAAACCTCATTGGACTGTTTTTACGACAATTATACCCATAGGCTTTTCTTTCTAACTATGTTTGAAGTATATGAAAGTCTTTATAATACTTTCTTTTGGTTTATGGGAGGGTGCCATTTTAACTGTAGCCTGTCCTTCAGCTGCCCCGATCAACATAAAGGAATGCAATGATGAAAAATGGTGACATAAAGAGCCCAAATATCTATAAGTACCTGACTACAATAAATGGCAAAGAGCACATCCAGGACATTCTTTTCCAAGCCAATGTCTGTGAGTTATGTATCAGACTATAACTCCCAGCTTTCCTAGCTGAAGTAGCCCCAAGGGACTCACTGTTTGATTCATGTGATGCTGCTACTTGGCACATGACACCTGAAGCTGCCCTTCGATTTCTGCATTTGACTCACGTACAGGGTTGCTGTTCTTGTCAAAATTCCCCTTCTCCAGGTCAGTCTTTAGAGTGATGTCCAAGCAACAGCAAGAAAAACTAGGTACAGGAAGGGTAAAAAGGGGCATGAAAAATGTGGAAAGGAGCAGAGGAACTCATGGTGATAGGTTAGGGCCCCATCCAATCTTCTCTCCTTTCCTGTTTGCTACTTAAAGTGGCAATTTTATTTTGCATATCAGCAGTACATCTACTGACATCTGGAAAAATTGGGGAGTTAGAATATCTGGAAGGGAAAGTCTTGAGAAATGCTGTTTATAGGACCTAGACAAAATTCAGGGGGTGTGGTGGCGTCATCTTTTCCCTCAATTTTATTTTTGAATCTGTTTGCAGAGAATGCTTCAAGTGGAAGATGTGAACTGCATTTGCATAGATTGGGTCAAAGGTTCCAGATGTGCATATACCCAGGCAGCTAACAACATCCGTGTGGTAGGGAGTGAAGTGGCTTATTTTCTAAATATTCTTAAGGTAAATGAGTTTTCAGTCATTAATTCATGGTTGTCAATCTTATAAATAATGGAGAGCTACAAGTTTCTATCTATGGCTAAACAACAATATTGGTATTATTTCAAGAATTATCTGACATGGGACAAAATTACAGGTAGTCCTCAATTTACCATTCAAAGTTTCAATGGCACTGAAAAAAGTGACTTATGACCGTTTTTCACGGTCATATTTATGATGGTTGCAGTGGCCCATGGTCACATGATCACCTTTTGCAGCCTTCTGAAAAGCAAAGTCAATGGGGAAGCCAGATTCACTTAATAACGGTGTTACTAACTTAATTGTTGTACTTCACTTAACAACTGTGCCAAGAAAAGTTGTAAAATGAGGTAAAACTCACTTAACAAATGTTTCATTTAGCAACAGAAATTTTGGGCTCAATTACGGTGTTAAGTTGACGACTACCTGTACATTGTTAAAATTCAATTATTCTTCAGACATCTATAACTAGGGCAATTAAGGCCATGATTGGGTTGGAAGATAAGCTATACATGTCGTGGTAATATCTCCCCCCCCCCCCCGGCAAGCTAGGCTTACAATGCAAATTTATTGCCTGTAATGAAATGGATGCAATTGTCAGCTCAAACTAATCTGTATTATATGTGAACATGTGGGAGTGGCAATATTTTGGCAGTCATCTCAGACCCCTTGGTCTGTCCAAAACTGCATATTAGTTACATTGCAAGAAGAGCAAGCGGGAGATGGAATACGGTGACCTAATTGAAATCTGTCTTTATGCAGATTCCCATTGGTAAGGCACTTCATAGCCAGGCCTCATATGCTACAAACAGATAACTATGAGGGGAATTAAGCTGGTAATTCTAGACTTTTAATGGAGTTGGACAACTTATAAAATTAATTAAATTAATTATAGCCTTGTTTTGGAATTTTGGTCTCAAACTACCTGTATAATGACTTGGCAGAGATTTGGTAAACAGTTTGCATTTCGGTCACACTGAAAACAGACAATTACAAAGACCGTTAATTATTTTATCAGTTTGATAATAGCCTATCCTAATAGCTTTCTATGAATCCTGTCTTAGATTTCCGTTCCTAATCAAACTCTGAATTTAAATCTAAGTTGGAAAGAACCAGAGTAGTACGTACAAATGACCCTGTTGAAAGAAAAATCTTCATCAGGGTCCAGCCGGGAATAAACAAAATGGAGACTGCTTTAGAAAGAAGGTTGTAGTAGTTTATTGAAGAGCAGAACCAGACAGAAATGTGACTCTGGGAAAGCTGACCACATGTAGCAGGGAGTGGTGGGTTTTTATACCTTCTTGGGCTTTTGTGTTTGGAGTTGTTCCTGTGGCATGAACTTTGACCTGAGGTTCAGTGTGCCCTCCTGTATTCTAATGGTGGTGGGTTAATCCTAAAATTCATTTCCCACTTCCCTGGGACTGTGGCTGATGGCTATGTCCTGTGTTGGATTATTTTGGGTGAGAGGTTGTTGGTTCTAATCCCATCAGCTCCAAGCTTCCTGGCTCCAGCCTTTCTGAAAGGATTATCGAATATGCATTTCTACAGAGCTAGCCTCTGCCTGGGTTTCTGGCTGGGAGCGGGGAGGAGAAGTTTCTGTCTTTTTAAGATCTCCATTATTCCTTTGGGAAAATATAATATTCTGCCTGTTTAATATTTCCCAATATGTAAAATAGTCAAGGATCAAAAATAGACTTACCGTATTCGTTTTCTCCAAAATCTAGATTCTGTCTAAAAAAAAGTTAAGTGCAGTAATAGGAACCCCAGAGATATGAAACTAGAATTCTTCTTTGTCCCCCTGACTCTATAATATATTTGTACATCTTTGGGTTCTGTATCAGCTATCTGTGCTAAGATATCATTCAGCTGGTTCTATGCTAAATTCAGCATCTAAAGAATTGTTTTAAGCACTTCATCTTAGAGCCAGCTTGCAATCAACTGAGGTTTCATGAAACTACTTCCCTCTATGACTTGGAGTTGCAAGTCACAGAAATACACTTACAGAGCTAACAAAGTATATGACAACTGCTCTTGTCTTTAGGAGAAATATGGATACCCTCCCTCCATGGTACATTTCATTGGCCATAGCCTTGGAGCACATGCAGCTGCTGAGCTGGGAAGCAGAATAAAAGGAATTGGAAGAATCTCTGGTAGGTTGATGCAATGTAGCATGATTAATATGAAAGCAAGTATTACCGAATCTAAGCTCTGAGGAGCCAATGTAGAAGATTTTATTGAATTGAGAAAGTGAATGTAAAAAATAAAGCTACATTTAATATGTGCATAGTTATATATCTTTATATCTTTCCCTGTTTTCTTTGGAATAGCATCTATTAGCTTAAGAGTATTACCCTGAATTGTATGATGGGTTGTGCTGCTAATTAATAAAAGAGATGTTCTATTATACATGGTACAAAGGCAGAAGGTTTAAATACAATTAAAATGAGCATCTTAGATGAAAGAAATGATCTGAGAGGCCAAATGAAAACTATTTTTACACAGACTGTTCCCATTGTCTTACTTGGTTTTTTAATTATTACCTTGATTCTCAAACAATAAGGCATCATCATAAAGAAATTTGTGTGGCCTTTTACATATAGTGCAATTGTATGGACTGCTCTGATTCTTTCCAACTTGTATTTATTTGCACATTTATTACAAATGGAATTTATTTTTATATTGCACATTTTCTAATATACACATTTTGGATGCAGCATTATATAGCATAATTGTCCACACCATACATTTTTTTTGTTTTCCCTTTTAGCCAACAACTGCATTTAAAAAGTTAGAATGTTTTAAATAAGTTGCCTTAATTACTGTATTTTCTCTTGTAGAAATGAACTTTCATTATTGATTTTCTCTTACAGCAATTTTTTATTTGCCCATGAAAATACAAACATATTGATTATATAAAAATGAAATGGAAGAAATCCTTAGTGTTTCTCTTAATGGCCAATCAGCCCTATAAGACTTTCTAGCTACAAGTGTTTGTGAAATTCTGAGCTGATTTCAAATACTACTGCTAGGGGCATTCTTTGATAACTGGGGACTGACAGGAATTAGGATTGGTCAGTACTGCCAAGAGCATGCTGATATTTCACTTAAATCATTATAATTGGTCCAGAAATCTTCAGCAACTCCTCTTAAAAACATTCATTTAACATTTATGCCATTACAGGACTAGACCCTGCTCAACCTTATTTTCAAGGCACTCCACCTGAGATCAGATTGGACAAAAATGATGCTGAGTTTGTTGACGTGATTCATACTGATTCAGCACCAACCATTCCGAACCTAGGTAAGCTGACTACAGAATAGTACATAATATGCAAGAGACAAGCGTAAACCTATTTAAACATAACCTTATTTTTTTTAATGAATTTTCAGGGTTTGGGATGAGTCAAGCAATTGGACATCTTGATTTTTATCCAAACGGAGGTGAACACATGCCAGGATGTAAGAAAAATGCTCTTTCACAAATAGTGGATATTGATGGCATTTGGGAAGGTAGGTATCACAGTGATCCCTGCAAAGAAATATTCAGTTGTAGTACAGAGATACAAATTTCACTCTATTGTATCAACAGTAAAGTACATTAGGACAGAGTCCCAAGCTGATGCTCTATGGATATGTTGGGGCCACCAGGATTTCTAGCCAGAATTGCAATTGTAGGAATTTGGAAGGTTCCAGTTTCTACCCATAGCATGGTGAGGCAGAATCAAGGTATCTACATTTCCAAAATAATAAAACACAAAACTAGAAAAGATGTAATAAATATAAGAAAGAAACATCACTTAAGAAAGAAACATCACTATTTTCTTTAGTTTAGAGCTTTCTATTTGGAAAAAGCAGGAGTGAGGGATAAGGGGAGGAAGAGATGCAAAACATACAACAGATACACACTCAAAAGCATTATAACATTTTTTTAAAAAGTATATGTTGTCTAGAGGCAACTGCATAGGATTGCTCTCTGCAGCTGATCAGAAATGGATTTTGCTTGTATTCTTTCTAAGGTGATTTTTAGAGAAATTCTCGTAAAAGGTGTGCTTTCTTAGTTGCCAGATCGCCGGTGAGTTTATGTTCTTTTTTTGTACAATAATTTCTCCAGCAGTTTGCAGCTTTTGTATGGGAAAATCCCGTGATGGGAAACTCTCCCCTGAAAAAAACGTGAAGAAAACCCTAACCTCTACAATTATTCAAGCCATAAATGTGATGAGTAATTTCAAAAGACCACTTGTGCCAAATACTAGTAAATTCAGGACAAAGGAGAGTTCTATCTGTCATTACCTACAGAAAATGGCGATGGGCAACAGTTTAAAAGTTGACTTCTTCAAGGATAGATTAACAATAGCTCTCAGTCATGACAGCTATATATTTTGCCCAGTGGGCTCACATCAGAAAGTGGCCCTCTATTGCTATAAAGACTTGGTGCCTTCTCAATGAATTGGAAGGTCACCCATATCTTTTGGTATGAAATCAACTGTACTGCAGCTTAGTAGTACCCTTGTCACAGACTGCATGGTCTGCTGGAACAGAAGGAAAGGTCAAAGACTATCTGTTAGACACCCTGATTTGGACCCCACCCCCTTGACACCCTGCTGTCCCAGCAAAATACTTTGGATATACTTAAGATACATTCTCAACCATTGATCTTAATAATGAATCAATCTTTAACTTTCCTCCATGGAAATTCCAATAGAACGAGAAAATTAAATATATAATGAGATTTTTATAGATTTCTGGAATAACTGGCTTTTATCTTTTATGCAAGTTACCTTCTAATACAATTTATAGCAAAATGCTTTTTTTTTCAAGTGCATTCAGACAGAGCAATGGAGCAAGATGTTAAATGAAACTTTTGCTTCAGTGAGAAGCTTTGGGATTGCCTCCTATGGGGCTGTAATGTCTATGGAAAGCCAAGGGACAGGAACTTTTGCAATTCTGTTGTAGTCTTGTTTGCATCTTTTTCAAAGGAAATATATTTCATTCCAAGTTAACATTTTGACATGCATTTATGAAAATAATGATTTTTCAAAACAAAAGATTCTCTGCAGAGAAATGTTGCACCTGAAACTGCTAATATAAATTTCAAAATTCTCAGCCTATATACAGATATACAAAAATAATTTAATTAATATTTGTTTATATATTTATGTATTTGTCTTCATAATTAACATACTAAATTGTACAGTTTCATTTCAGAATTTGCTATTGTCATCAAATCTTAATTCTCAGCTTAAACTATAAAGTCCTAGAAACCAGGAGAGTGTGAGTTCTAATCCTGCCTTAGATATGAAAGCCAGCTGGGTAGCTTTCGGCCACTCAATCTCTCTCAGCCCAGTTCACCTCACAGGGTTGTTGTTCTGAGGAAAAAATGGAGGAAGAAGGAGATTTAGTATGTTCGCTGCCTGGAAAAAAATTAAAAAATTAAAGATAGGATAAAAATCTAAATCAAAATAAAATAAGTAATAGCTATGAAGCCAGTCTGCCTTCTACCTCTTATTTAAATATTCCTCTTATTTAAACATCATTATATGTTTATTCCACTTTTATTAAAACCCTACATATAAATAGAAATGGTTTAATCCATATTTTAAACTAGAAAACAAAACTTTCAAAGCATCCCCTTTCTATTTTGGAATAAGTTAATCTCATGAAACGACTAGGTCAAGGTTTCTGAAGCCAGTTTTACATCCTGGAAAATGTTATGCACCTTGTCAGATTGTTAATAATTCTAATGTGCTAAAGGCTTGAAAGGATAATAGATGCACTCAAGATTGATTCCACCAAACAATAAACAGCATAGCTTGAACTAGATATGTTCCAACTGTGCTTTGTGATTGATATTTTTCATTTATTTGTAAGCCTCCCAGAAAACTCCAGTTACTGATGAAGTACAATAAAATAGAGCTAACAAATACATTGCTATGAAACAACTTGCAATTACTAAACAGTTTTTCAAACCCAGAAGAAAGCTTTGTAGTTAGCTAACCTATCGCTAAGTAACAAATGTATACCTGCCAGTTTATTTGGTTCTGAAATAAAGACCTTTTTTGGTTGTTGTTCAACCCCCACAACCTACATTTACAATTCCTAAATGACTCACTCTCACAAAACCAGTACCGTGGGCTATTGAATGCAATAATTAACATAGCCCACTCCCAAGGCTAAGTGCTGCAGTTGATTCCATAACTGGATTTTGAAATCTTCATGTATATTTCTTAGATATTTGGCGTTGTCCACCAATTTGTTGACACTTTTATTAACAGCACCAAACTCCCTGAAAGAAATTGTTCTGTCTTAACTCTTTTGGGGATCAGTTGTTTGGGCAGACTGGACTCAAAACTCTTGAGCACTAAGAAGCTTTTAAAGTCTGCTGCATTTCCATGTTCAGCCTAGTCCCTATATGCCACCTTACATTATGAATCCAGCCATGGAATTCAGAGCATACATTTCACCAAAGAAATCTGTGTTTCCTTTTCCATGTGTCATTAAAAATCTCTGCACTTAGCCAAATATGAGAAATTTAACAAATTTTCTTAATTTTTCTTCTACTATAATTCTATTGGAGCAAATGCAAAAATATGATTTTGACAATAAAATACTGCTCATTATAAGAAAAGTCCTTAACTGAAACATTTAAGTTCTCTTAAATCTCAGAGCCCACTATAGTTTCTAGCACCCTGTGTTAACAGTTTCAGATTTATACTTTGACAGCTCTTCCCCAACTGTCTTGCTGACAACTTCTTTATCAGGTGATGAGAAAGTTCATGGACACATCACACCTAGCTAATTGGGGAGCCTCTTGCAATATGCTTTATTCTCAGGGATAACCCAACCCATGTGCCAGTCTGTTGTCTGTATTGCTTATCCTCACCTATTGTTCGTGACTACTGAAAAACTGAGATTTCCTGAAGCATTTTTCAGATACAATGTCCCTCCCAAATAATGACTGTTCTGGTCAATCAAGAACAGTAAGTAGGTGCAGAATTGTCAACAAATCTTTCCTTTGTTAAGATAAAACTATCTTAATTATTAAGTCATATGTACTGGATTGGACAACATAATAAGAAAAATGAAAAATTTCTAAAACAGGGCAGCTCCAGAAGTCTAATATTTAGATACAGTAATCATGCAATTAATTGTTCACTATAACTGCTATTACTACTAAAACAGGGCACTACTAAAAGGATAATTTAATACATTCAACACGGGGCTACTTCACTCAAGCTGTTTCCTTTAATTCATTAAATATCAATTTCAAGAATGGTTCTTATTTAAACCACCGCTTTTAGTAACTGCTACTGATCTTTTGCCTGCACTTCTCCCAACCAAAGTATTATACATGTCCAACCTCTCAAGGAAAGAGGTTTTTAAGAAATGTTTCAACATTTGGCAAAGGGAATAAAAGTGATGAAAAAAGTTGAGAGAATGGCCTTGCTCCAGAACTAAAGAGGTAAGTGTTAATTCAATCTTCTTCAAAGCACTTGATAGGAAGAGTCAAAACGAATAATATCTAACAGCACTTTCTGCTTCACAGGAACCCGTGACTTTGTGGCCTGTAACCATCTACGGAGCTATAAGTATTATTCAGATAGCATTGTTTTTCCAGATGGATTTTTGGGTTATCCTTGTGCAGCATACAACTTATTTGAAACAGTATGTCATTTGCATCATCCCGAAATATTAACAGAAAAATGTAGTGTTTTGACTTTTTTGTCACAGCATGCAAGAGATAGAGAAAAAAATCAAGGGACTATTAGTTTACAAGAGATTCTGTTCACATGATATCTCCACTGCTTTGCCCTTCTCTAGGGTATTGCTTAATTAGCGACTCTCTCTTTTTTCAGGAAAATGTAATTTACAATTATGGTCAAAATGGCTAACTGCAATTTGCACCTGCTTTCAAAAGAAATGTAAAATTGCATGTTTAATCCTTATTTGGCAGTTAAGGCACAATTTATGGGTTGTCCAATTGGATGCATGGCAAACTGTCTAAAACAATCAGTTATCTGGCAGAGTGAATGACCGGAGGTGCCAGCATGCAGACTTGAGCCTCAGATGTGTACGATCGAATTATATAAACATTAATATGTTTATTTTTGGAGCTATGCAGAAATCTGGATTCTGAGAATGGAAATATGATTTGGGGCATGGGGAGAATATGCACATTGATCTATCAGTATCCCCTCAAATTAATTTTGCTTTGTCACCACATGAGCCTAGGAAAAATTCATCTTCTTTGAGAAGTTGCTAAGAACAAGAAAATGTTAAGTTCCGTTCCCTTTGCATCCAGATCTTTCCATTCTTAGTCCAGGAATGAATTAACTGAAAAATCATCAAGCTAGAAACAGAATGTACAGGAGCAAGTTAATAAGAACTGTATATAGTTTTGTTTTTTTTTAAAGAAATGTTATTTATTTTTTCAATCATAAAAAAACAATCATAAGTAAACACAATGACAATAACCCCACACCCCACACCCCGGACTTCCCAAACCTAATCCCAGGATAATATTCATATGAAAGTAAACAAATACTAATATCTCTAACTCTACAAAATATCTTAATCTACAAGAAAAGATAGTAGAAATAAACCAGCTTACAAAATTAAAAACCTAACCTATATTCTACCACTTTATATTTCTTTTGAATATAAACAATCCATCTTCCCCATATTGATAAAAATTGTTCATTCGAGTGATTCTTCAAATAAGCCGAAATCTTTGCCATTTCAGCAAGATACGAAACTTTCAATCTCCAATCTCCCATCGTTGGCAGAATTGGGCTCTTCCAGTTTTGTATCTCCCAGATATAAAACCAGTCTGATCATCATGTATATAATATTGCAAA